GCAGGAATGTTCCATTTTTCCTTCGTTGGTGGCTTGGTAACATGCCTCTTTGTGCCGGTGCCACTTTTAGATCCCCTAACATGCCACAATTTACATCTGGCGGCGAAGAATATCGTACACAATTCCAGATCCACCTTCTCATGTATTTTGATTTCTGGAATTTCATCTTCTCCCTCCCTTCCCATATTACGTGTTTCTTTCATGTAGTCGCGAGTGAACTGGAGTTCCTTTGCTGCCCTTTTGTCTTGAATTTCTTGCCTTCCGTCTTTGTAACGGATATCCCATCCTTTTCTCCAAACTAAAATTTGGGAAATGAATGCCTGGCTCGATTTCTTCCTTCTACGAAAGAGCCGCATATTCCCCGCCCTCCCCTTAGATGTATTGTCTATGTACGTATCCGTTTTTGTTTTGTCTGTGTCTGTATTGTGTGTGTCGTGTGGGAGTGTGTGTGGGAGAGAGGGGGGGATAGAGAGAGAGAGAGGCAGAGAGAGAGAGAGAGAGAGAGAGAGAGAGAGAGAGAGAGAGAGAGAGAAAAGGAAAGAGAGAGAGAGAGAGAGAGAGAGAGAGAGAGAGAGAGAGAGAGAGAGGCAGATTCAAGTGGGTATTTGCTACGATGGATGGGTATTTGCTACGGTAGCAAATACTCACTGGTAGGTATTTGCTACCTTAGTGAGTATTTGCTACCGTAGCAAATACGGAGGGTGGGTATTTGCTACTCCGGGTAGGTATTTGCTACGGTAGCAAATACTTACTGGTAGGTATTTGCTACATAAGTGAGTATTTGCTACGGTAGCAAATACGTACGGTTGGTTTTAGCTTCAAAACAAAGGACTTTGCAGCAAATAAGAGGTACTTCAGTACTGCTATGCGACTTCATATTAATAGCTACCGTTGCAAACTATAATTTTAAAGTACGTAGATAGTTCGAGGCTTACGTAGGGACAAAACATGGTTCAGCATAGAGATTTCTCTTGGTTTGTGTGGAAACAACGCTTGATGAAATTTTCATGTTTTGAGAGCTGTTTTAAATATGCAACCCGTGTAAAATATTATATAGTTATAGCAGAACTTAACGAGGAATAAATAATTGTCTGAAACTAAGTTGATTCTTAAAGGGGAAAAAATAACGGCTTCTTTAGAAGCTATCAACTTTTAAAAAAGCTACGCCAACAGATGGCAAACTCAGTTGCTAATTTATTATATTACATTACATTCTCTGAAATATTGGCTAGAGTCTGATAAGAAACAACCAGTCACCTGGTCAGACGAACCCCACCCACCCAGCCCCAAAGTCCAAACCTTTCATCGATTTGTTTGGCTAGCGATCTTTCCTTTAAAACCATGCGTAGTAGTCTTTAACATGGCTGCCCTGTGTATGGCTCCCCACGTGTACGATTGTGCACTACAGTGATGCGAAAGTAGTTGGAGAACTGAGCAGGTGAGGATAAAAAAAATGTTTATTTTACCGTACAATCCGATTTAATTCATCAATGAGTAGATAATTCAAACTACATCTTGTTTTATTCTACGGAAGCTTTAAAGGCACACATGAGTTTCACTTGAAAATCGGTGTTTTTTTTTCTTGAAAATCGGAGTTTGTTTTCGAAAATCGGAACTTGAAAATCTGAGTTTGTTTTCGAACACTGGAGTTTGAAAATCGGAGTTTGTTTTCAAAAATCGGAGTTTGAAAATCGAAGTTTGTTTTCAATAATCGAAGTTTAAAAATCGGAGTTTGCTTTCGAAAGCAAACTTCGATTTTCAAAAACAGAATCCGAATTTCAAACTCCGATTTGTGAAAACAAACTCCGATTTTTGAAAACAAATTCCGATTTTCATACTCCGATTTTCCAAAACAAAACTCCGATTTTCGAAAACAAACTCCGATCAGTTTCAAACTCCGATTGTTGAAAACAAACTCCAATTTACAAAAACAAACTCCGGTTTTCGAAAACAAATTCACATGTCTGGAAATAAACTACGATTTTCAACAAAACAAACACTGATTTTCAAGTCAAACTAAGATGTCTCTTTAAAGTTTCCGTAAAAGATTTCATGGCTGACGATGATTTTATTTTTGAATGTCTGAGTTAGTTATATAGACTGTGGTGTAGGCCTCCCATGGAACGCTTAATCAGTTATACGGCATGTTGTTGTTGTTGTTTTTTTTAATTGGTACTCACCTTGTCAATGTTCAGATATAAGCTTTAAAGCTTTACAACAGTTTCGAGCAAAAAATATTTGATGCCAGCCAACTTGATTCAATTGAAATGACCACTTAAAAGCCATTTGTATAGAATGTGCGTCTGTTTAACTCATGAAAAGCAGCTACAAATGGAACATTCAACGGAAAAATTGAATCATTTTGTTAGTTAATAAATCAGTCGTCCGTTCCTAGCAAACGTTCACGGATTCATTGGGTCTATAAGAGTTAACAGTATACAAACTGCGAACTGGAATTTTGCAATTTACTGTCATGTAGGGTGCCTACATTTCTGTTTTCGAATTTTGTACGGCATAAAGTATTTCTCCTTTATATCAAATATATTCTGATTGCTTTTTTCGCAATAACCAAATACGCATTACACCTATTCAAACAGCTTACCAAATTTTTCTCTTCTGACGATTTTCTCGTCTCTGGCAATCTCACCTATGAAAAATATATTTTTTCATCATGAATTTACTCGATGTCACAGTATAGCTGATGAATTACTTCTTAATTTTGGCTCGATAAGGATTTGGACATAAAAGCGCGTTAAATTATCACCTGATACCGTAGAATTCCGATAATAACGGGTCCCCGAAAATAACGGCTACCCGAAAATAACGGCTACCCGAAAGTAACGTTAATTTTTTACCTTGCTATGAAACCCCGAGAGTAACGTCCCCCCCTCCCTGATAATAGCAGCCGCTGAAAAAATGACCTCTCAAAAAATATATATATAATTTTTGAACCGTTAATGTAACATTTCAAGAGGTGCGGTATGTGGTGACAAATACAAGTAGGTAGTGGGTTGAATCATATTTTCCTATTTAATTTACAACAAATGCCACACAATGTTTTCCTATTTTAGTGGTGTACTGCATTTTCATAAACATAGGATACGGGTAACATAGTAACTAATACGCGTAAAAACAGATAAAAGCAGTATGTGTCATCACAGTTGTCATATAATACGAACAATTTTTTCGACGTATAGTATACGAACATTTCGGGGCCTTTTTTGTTACAGTTTTATTATTTTGTTTACATGGATAATGAATACCGTAACCAGCATGCAACCTGAATTACTTTTTTTATGTCTGTTATGCGTCCTCTTTGTGTAAAACCCCTGCTGAATTACAAACGTTTTGTAACCATCCGAAAGTAACGGCTACCAGAAAGTAACGGCCCCCTTGGCCTGCTAAATCCGAAAATAACGGGGGCCGTTATTATCGGAATTCTACGGTATCACTTGTCACCATTTAATTACACATACTTTGAATGTTTGGTCAAATAATTGCCTTCGTCGCAGACGCTCTAAGGGACAGACCATTAGAAAAGTTATGGGGGGGAGCAGGCGAAGTACAAAAGAAAAATTGCGCAAGGGAAAATTAAATGAAAAAAAATTCATGCACGCCAATTAATCCTAAAAAATATTCATGCTATGGCCTAAAACAAATTCATACAAGGAATTTCATAACGAAAAAGGAAGAAGCTGGAAAACCAGTCCGGGCAATTTACAAGCAAATTCTGGCCTCGAAGGAATTCTCTCAAAGCATTTTTTTTTTGTCCAGAAGAAGGCTTTAAAGTTCCAATTGCTCTTTCATTGTTTGCTGTAAACGATCCTAGCCAACTCCCTTCTGTGAATCTTGACATTTCACTGCGCTCAACCGTCACACACACTGAAGAATTAGGCCAATCGTGAGGCGCATAAGAAACCAGTAAGAAGCCCGCCTATCAAAAACGCTCACATATGTTCTTGCGACTCTGCAGGATGTTAGAACAATTTTTTGTACACTTATTCGCAGACGGATTATACAAATGGTTTAGACAAGTGCGTGGGCCAGCTGCAACGCAGGCTAGTCAAATAACTGAGTCTTTGCACGGGAGCACGGGGGCTTTTGCTGAAGAGTCCCGTTTGAAATCTTTTAATGCTGTAGCTGTATGCCCGGCAGTCGGTAAGGGGGTTAAAAAAATAAATAAATAAATAAATGAGTGCTCGGCATTCAGAAAGTTTACGAAATTATTTTTTCCAATCGTTTGAAGATTGCCGTGTACTTAGCCGGTGCCTGAGAGTAACGCGCTGCTACTCTCTCTACTCTATGCCCAGGAAACCAAAACCGCTCAGATGCGGAGACAGCTGAAGACAGTTTAGTTTCCCGATCGCTTGGTTATTCTAATTGAAGGTAGATTATTTTCAAACGATTAAATTTGAATTTTCTGACTGCCGGACGTTTACTTTTTTAAGACTCTTCCTGACTGCCGGCATATAACCACAAAGAACATTCAACTGACTTTTTGCGGATCACATTCAGTCTGCGTTTTCTTCTATTTACCTGATTGCCTCTTCTTTTAAAAAAAAAAAAATGGAAACAAATTATGTCACGTTCAGGACACCTGAAGCTATTGTTTTTCTACCGTCATTTTGTGGTATATTTTCAATGTATCAGACCTCATCCTTACTTGCGGTACTAGCAGTCGACGACCTGTGCGTCCTGTCATGGTCGATTTTCAAATAGCAAACAATAGCTTGTACCAAAGCTTAGTTCAATTTTAACAAAACCCTTATAACAACTGTATTCGGTATTTCCTTTATTTACAGTTGTGAATTTCTGTAATGGTAATTTTTCATTTTAAGAATGACTGACGTTGCGGAAGACGGCAATGCCTTGGAGGACGGTGGAAGCACGTTACCGGAGACGAGTAAAGACCAAAAACAGAAACGAAATCCAAAAAAATGTTCTAAATGTGGTAAGAGTGTAATTAATCTCAGTAGACATCAAAAAAAGACGTCCATGGGATGAAGAAACTTAAACGCAAATTACATGACTACTTATCAGGGGAGAAGAAGAAGCCCAAGGGGATGGTAAAATTCTGCCCGTTATCACCGTGCAAAGGCAAAAAAAAAACGCCCATTTTCCAGCTCAATAAACATTTACAAACGCCTTTACATGGTCTTAAGCCTGATACACCCAGCTACAGAGAAGCCTTTGAAGGAAGCTCCACGAGTCTCTCTAGACTTCATAGACGATCACTTAAAGAAGCAAAAAAAAAAGGAGGAAAGTTGAGGAAGGGCAAGAGGAGAGCAGAGAGGAGTAGTGACGATGAAAGGCATGAAAGTAATTATGACAGCGGAGAGTATAGGAGATCGGGTGAAGAGGATTGCCGAAAACGTGTGAAAGCAAGTAGAGCTAAAGTAAATAATGATGGAAGCGAAGATGATAAAGAACTACAAGATGAGAGCCAAAAGCCATTAGAAGTAACTGCTGGGCCAAGTGAGGATAACTGCAATGACGTTTACCTAGAGGATTGTCAAAGCGAAAATGATGGTGAGACCAGTGAACGAGTTGATAAAGGTGCCGGTACAATTAGTAAGGACAGTGATCAAGAATATGACGATCTTGCACGTCGAGCGTGGGAAAATGCAAGTGAACAACGGAACGACATTGTCATCTTATCAGACAGTGAATCTGGTAGCGACTACATTCCGGGAAGTGATTCTGAGTCGAGTGAATCTTACCAATCTCAAGATTCTATTCATTCTCTTGATTATGAAAATTTGATGATAGAAATGGTCGAGGTTATCGGAAAGGAGGAAATTGTAGCTGGAAAGTCATTTCTAGATAATAAACTTGAGTCACCTCGGTGGAAGAAAAAAGTTCAAGAGTTTATAATTGCTCAAGAAACTAAAGGTTATCGTTTTAAGAATGAAGAAGATTCTTCAGAAGACTTGAGACGAAGGTTTCAGCACTGTGAAGAGAGCGAAGGTGATGAAGTCGAAAGCATATTAATGAGTGACGAAAGCGACAACGATGATGCCTTGGATGAAGAGTGGGAAGCAAGTGATGGTGAACCAGATCTTGAAAAGGGAAACGAAAGTCAGCAAGGTTGCTTTGACACTATCACTGACAACTTAATTACTGAATTTTACGACTACATGATTGACGTAGATGGAGGTTATCGTAATGTTAAAATAGCACAGCAATACAAGTCTCAAGTGAAAAGTGTCATTCGCACCTGCACAGCGAATTCGACACAGGACGATAAACAAAAACAATCCGGCCCTGCGATTTACTCGCTTTTGACCCCTGGAAAAGTTGGAGCAAACATTTTGAAGTCATGGCTTTCCTATGCGGTCAACAAGTACCGACCAGGAACTGTTAGGTCCTACTTGATGAGTCTGCGCCAGTTTTACAAATTCTTAATCCAAGAGGAAAAGTCCATACCGGAAGTATCCCTGGACTTGCTTAACGCTCGCACAGATCTCATGACGTCATGGTCATCTGCACAAAAAAAGAACATCTTAAAGAGGAAACTAGAGAAGTACGATGAGGATTATCGGAAAATTCTCTCAAGTGAAAGCCTTGACAAGATTTGCCATGGAAATCAGCGCGTGAACGCTGTTAAGCAATTGGCGGCAACCTCTGAAAACACACATCGTGGTGAAATTATCATGAGGACTATCAGTGACAAATCGCACTGTGAAGTGAGGGACTGGTTAATGACACGAATGCTGATTGATAATAGTGGCAGAAGTGGGGTGGCAGCCAAAATGACTGTTGCCGAATTTAATGAGGCTGTTCACTACCAGGGTACAGAAGAGGACCCGGCACGGTTCAGGGTACATGTTAAAGATCACAAGACAGCTAAAGTGTATGGGCCGGCCGTCGTTTGGATTTATGAAGACCTGTATCACCTCATAGACATGTACATAAGAACAGTGAGGAGTCAGTTCGTTCTATCAGATTCTAGTGTAGAGTGCGTATTTGTTTCAAGCAATGGAATTGCCCTGACTTCGTCTCAGGTTTCAACAGCTATCGCGAGAACCTTTGAAAGAGAAGGTGTTAAAGTCAAGGGAAAGGTCTGCGCGACAACAATTCGAAAGTCCCTTGCCACTGGGATGCACGTCCACCTGCCTGACCAGAAGGAACACCTAGCTGCCCTTGCCCAACACAAAGTACAAACGCAGGCAAATTACTATCGCATCCACGACAAAATAAACGAAACTGACTTGGGACGACGAGCAGTAAAGAACCTCGTTTCGCTAAAGAAAGAAAAAATCTGAGCCTGAAACGAAGGGCGAAATGAAAACACCCGCGCTTTGGACAGCTGATGAGACTGAGATGCTAAGAAAGCTTTGTAAAGAAGAAATCGAAACGGGGCTCATCGATGAGCAAAATATTAATAAAAAGCTGGAAGAAACAAGCTTGTTCCAAACTCATTCTTTCAAGGCTGTCATTCTGAAGCTTCGCCGCCTAAGAGACGCGTTCATGGAGAATGTGGAACCTCCCTGCCATGAAGTAACAACTCAAGACAAGATTACGAATTACCTGGCAAAATGCCAATCAGAAGTTGCTTCGACATCGCAAGCAGAGTCAACTTCAACCGAGAATTCTCGTTTTTTTGGAGGAAGTTCACCGATGAACAAACAGGGCATCTGATCTCCTAACCTATGACATGTTGAAGTGTAACAACATAAAAAGAGAGGTCGTATGGCAGAGGGTGGTGAGTGATCCAAGGTCGGTGGAGATTGGCCTCATAACCGGCACAGAAAACGAAGAGGAAATCCACAAAGCTAAGCAGCGGTTGAATGACAAAGTGAGACAAGAATTCAAAAAAGGAAGCTGGAAAAAGAAAAAGGAAACCGTGCGATAAACTGTTCAAGCTAGAATAAATGTTCTCCCTATAGGATTTTACAATCCGCTGTTAACTAAGTTTTACTTATTTTTCACTTAATGGTCTTGATGTCCCGGGGACTCACATATAAACGTGAGGGGGATTCTCGTCGGGAAATTAAAATTAAACGCCTAATGGAGAACAATGAGGGTGTAGCTAGGCCTGTCCCAATTGTGCCAGTGAAATGCTAGAAAGTTGCTTACTGGAATGTCAAAAAGTGGCTAATGAAATTTTAAAATTTTCTACTGAAATTTCCTCATATTCTTTTTTAAACGTTAGATTTCTGTGTGGTCAGTGTCACGGTATTTTTTTTGTTGCAAATTTCTTTACGCGCAGCCCTAATCGATACCTGTATGGGCAAATATAGTCCGTCCCAAACACCCTAAGTGAGACCTAAATTTACAACCCAACGACAATATAAACCCCTAAGCAAGACGACGAGCATCCCTGTCCCTTTTAGAAGGGAGTTCCTCCACCAGGCTTGATGTTGACCATGATTGTTTTAAGAAGCTATGTAGAATCGAGTTGTTGTTTTGAGAAGACTTTTGATTTCCGCTGAAATCACAAATAAAGGGAGTTAGAAATGTGGCATCAATGTTTCCTTGATTAAAATGATGCCGTAACATTTAGAGGTGCGTTCACACTGACAGCAAATGCTAACTCTAAAACCAATGTCGAAAGTTTGGACTTATTAAAAAGTTCTGGATTGTTAAAAGGTTTTTGTTACCAGCCCTTGCAATTCGCTAGGTAAAGATGAGCATTTTGTGCCAGTTTTAGTCCAAGTTAATGAGGTTAAATAATTTAAATCAACTGGAGTTTACTATGCAAGGATAAACACAGTGTAAAGGCTGGTTTTTACTAGAGACACCGGCAAAAGTGTAGGCGCAAACTGTGGAGTCTTGTCTTAAAACAAGAGTAGACAAAAGCATGAACGTATGAAGTGGCAAGAACACATTCCCACACAACCGAGGATGCCACATTGTGGATCTTTGTGCGGTTGTGGATTCGTTATAAGCATGCGTGTTAATTGCGACACAATAACAAGTGCAAGCACGAGGCAAAAAGGAGATAAAAACTGTTCTTGTATTTGTGCTTAGTGCTCGGTTTTCACAGTTATTCGGGGGAGTGCTGTTTTTCTTTGCACTTTTTAAAACGAGGCTTAAGATGAAAAGCAATGAAGATAAAAGACAAGTAAAACAATCGTTAAGTTAGACTTAAAAACAGTGTTTACATACCGCCGTTAATAGTATAGTTTACTGTTGAAAATTATTGCGCTCATTTTTAGCTATTATTTTAATAAATAGATTCAGTTTGACTAATAATAGGAAATTTTAAGTAGCTAATATAATGTCTTATGACAATCAGAAATACGAAGTTTTGCTATTATTTCACTGTTGTTCCTTTTTTTTTGTCTCAAACGTTAAACACTTAAATTACGACTACATGTTATAAACTACTTCAGATTTTAGATTGGTAGTACCTAGGAGTTAGTTATTACTATTATGTTATATGCAAATCAATGGCCCAGTGAACTTCTGTTTATTCATAATAAAATTTGTTATATGAAGTAGTGAAATTTCAGCGCGCAGCCATAGGCTACAAAGGCACCATACAGGGGTTTGCCTTGCCCGAAAAGAACTCATTGTTATAGCCTCCAAACTAAACATGTTTTCTCTGAAAATAACTGAGAAGAAAAAGAGAAAAGTGGGCGAATGCGCCTCGATTTTATGAATGAGTACCAGGTTCTTCCCTCCTTTTGAAGTTTTTAACGGCTTACCTACACCCGAAGGAGGCCTGCTACTTAGGTGCAGCTTATCGACATCTGCGCAGACGAAATGCAAAGGAGAGGCGAGCAGGTCGCGCTATAATTACTTAAAAAACGCGGTAGAGAGATGATCAAAGAATTGGACGCGCAAGTAGCAATGAAAAAGGGCAACCTACATAGCCGCACATAGCCGTACATAACCCTACATAGCCGTGCATACCCCTACATAGCCGTGCATAGCTCTGCATACGGGCCTTTCATAGTCGTGCATGGCCGTGCGTAGCCGTACATAGCCGTGCATAACCGTACATAGACGTCATGACATAGACGTGCATAGCCTTTCATAGCCCTTCATCGCCGTACATAGCTATACATAGCCGTGCATGGCCTTGCATACCCGTACATGGCTATGTGGATAGCCCTACATAGCGGTGCATGGCCGTACATAGCCGTGCATGGCCGTGCATAATTCTACATAGCCGTACATAACCCATCATAGCCGTGCATATAAACGGCTATTTACGGCTATATACGGCTATGCACGGCTACGTGCCGCTAAGGACGGCTATGCACGGCATTGCAGGGCTATGTACTGCTATGTACGGCTATACATGGCTAAATAGGGCCATTTACGGCTATGCACGGGTATTTACGGCAATGCATGGCTATGTAGGGTTACGTACGGCTATTTATGGCAATGTACGGCTATGTAGGGCTATGTAAGGTTATGGAAGGCTACGTACGGCTATGTATGGGTATGCACGGCTATGTAGGGCTATGTAGGGTTATGTAGGACTACGTAGGGCTATGTACGACTATACATGGCTATGCACGGCTCTGTAGGGCTATGGACGGCTATGTTCGTTTATGTATGGCTATGTACGGCCATGCATGGCTATGTACGGCGAAGCACGGCTATGCAGCGCTTTTCAAGTCCTACATAGGTCTTACATAGCCGTATAATACCCTACAGATTTCTACAGAGCCCTATATAGCCCTGCGTAGCTCTGTATTGGAACATTCTCCTAGCAACATGTTTGAGCCGCTTTTGACATATGCGCCGGCGCGCCGTCCTGCGAAAGTTAATCGCCTTTCTTGCGACATGTGGCTGTTTCCTTTAAGATAATACATCATCCTTGCAGTCTGTCGTAAAAGCTATAACATTTTTCCTCTGACAAGCGTCCCCAGCTACAACCTGTTTTGCAGGTGCACCTTTTTCATGCACTAAACTTTTAAGATACGCGCGCATCATTTTTTGTCAGTGTGCCTAATATTTCGGCAGAACTGAGCCTTACAAGTCCTTTAGTCGAAAATCGTAAGAATTTATGAAAGGAAGGTTCATTAGCATCATGTGTGGCATCATTAGCTAAAGTATGGGTGAAGCGCGTAAGCGCGCGCGAGACTGCTCTGTACTAACGAGGCAGGAATTTAATAGACAAAATTATACATGATTTATCAAGGCATTCAAAGCGAAATTGTCATTTCCTATCTGCATGGCAGAAAACTTATAAGCCTTTATAATATGCAATCTTCAAACCTTTTAGCCGGTGTTTTATAACGCCGGCCAAAAAGTGCGCAATTTCCGCAAACTGCATCTCGTGATATTTCCAAATTGGTGATAAATAAGGATATATACCAGGTTATATCCATGTCTTCCCTTGGATAGTTGTTATTTGTAAAGTGAACATCATCTTTCATTGGTTTTCTTCTTTCTCCAAGACATAACTTTTAAATAAATAAGATATCGAAAACTCAAATGCGTATTTGCTACCTGATGATCCGCATTTTACACATTTTTGTGTAAATTAAGCTTCTACAGTGGTTAATATTCATGGCTACCTTTGGCTGGCTGTGCCTTGGTTGGTAGGCATCATTATGCATTGTTTCTCTTCTTTTATCACGACTTAACTTCGAAATAAATTACATGTTTCTTTTCTGAGCGAAAACCAAAGTGCGTATTTGCTGCAAAAACGAGTATTTGCTACCTTATGATCCGCATTTTACACAGTTTTGTGTAAAATAAGCTTCTACAGCGGGTAATATTAATGGCTACCTTTGGCTGGCTGTTCCCTGGTTGGTAGGCATCATTATGCATTGTTGATCTTCTTTTATCACGGCTTAACTTCGAAATAAATTACATGTTTCTTTTCTGAGCGAAAACCAAAGTGCGTATTTGCTGCAAAAACGAGTATTTGCTACGGAATAGGTTTTTGGATAAAAATGCATTCAAAGTGCTTTGACCCCTCAAAAATTGTTTCGGAAGAGTTTCTTTTTGAAAGCGCTTACTTTCCACATAAAAATTGGAGAAGGTATCACAAAGGGTTATTATTTTTACAGCAAATACGTTTTGGGTTGACTAAAAAAAAATCTTGAGTCTGAAACTGGTGTCGAACATGTACCTGAGAACAACGTTTGGTGCTTAATTTAAGTTAAAGCAAAATTGAAAATATTTCCAAACACGGAGGGGTTTAATAGTAATTTTAATTACCCTAAGGACCTTACAAATCCGTTTTGTTTGGCAAATTTTACAAAATTTTTGGTTGATGTACCAAGAAATGCGTATTTGCTACGTTAAGTTGGTTTGAACTAGAAAATATTCTGGAAAAGTAAAATAAATTAGAAAA